GGGGTTTCAGGCACGTTATCACGGGTTTGGTCTCCATTCTCCTCGATGCCATAATACTGAGATCCCGGCTGCAGGCTGGGCGCGGGAGGAGGAGGAGGAGGAGGAGGAGGAGGAGGGAGGGAAGCCGGGCAGCCCTGCGCTGCGGCCACCCGGCCCTTGGATCCCCGTCCCCCAGCAACCCAGCGTCGTAATTTTCACCTAACCATCCCAATTTGGAGGCCATCCGTGCGCCCAACTCATGACGCATTTTTTATAAAATAAAAATAAAGACAGAAATGACAACCTGTGCCTCTTTGAAACACCTACGGGTCAGGCCAGCGGCAGCGAGCCCGCCAGCCACGGGGGTGGCAGCGAAGAGCAGCGAGCGTTGGCCAACGCTGCCCAGGGCCCGCGTTCTCCCAGTGCCCTCCCCGCTCGCAGCGGGAAATCACGCTGGTAATCGCTGGCACAGAGTCTGGTTACTGGTGGCACTACCTACACATGTCCCCTAGCTCTCGAGCTTAACCTTTCCAAATTATTTAACCAGCGAAGAGCTAGGGCGAGGCTGCTCGGTGCTTGCTGGGAGCCAGCGAGCGACTTTCGGTGGCCCGCCCGGCACACAGCGGGGCTCCGGCTCCATCCCTGCCCCGGTGACCGCGGCCGGGAGCGCCCGGGCTGGCTGCAGGGAGCGGGAGAATGGCGAAGAGGCATGTGTACATACACCTGCGTTACACACAGACACGTAAGACATATCCCACGTTTAGGGCCAGGGTTTAGTGGTGGGATGGCAGGGTGAGGTTAAAGGTTGGACTCGATGATCTTAAAGGGCTTTTCCAACCAAAGTGATGATTCTATGTAATGGCCCCCGTGTAGGCACGCACATAGGGACTTAGGGGGGCAAACCGGTCACGTGTCAGCAGGTTGGGGCAGAGCCAACCCCTAGTTTGGATCCGGATCCGAGTCCGGCAGCTGAGCGCGGCTGGTCGAAATTAAACCCAATCGCCGGCCTCAGGCGGGGCAGGGGGAGGCAGAGCGGTCGGCTCGCCGGGGCCTTGTGCTCCCCCTGCCCTGGCGGGCTCCCCCGGTGACTCCCCGCGGCTCCGTCAGAGTTCTGACAAACCTCCTCTGTAAACACAGGCGAGTCGTGCTTCCAGGCCTGTTTCCTGCAGGATTTGTACCTCCGTTATCCCGACACACAGACTGCCTCCCATGCACGCATATCCTGCCTCTCCGCTGCTCCCGCCTGCCTCCTGCTCGCCGCCAGCCTCCTTTTGTTTCCCTCTTTCCTGGTGACTCCAACGCACAGCCTCTCTGCTTGAAAGGAAAATTAATGAGTTGTCGCATCTGCTGCCACTGGAGCTGCTCCTGCCACGTGGCAGCGGCAGACGTGGCGCAGGCAGCAGCGTTGGTGCGAGACGCGGTGGCGTTTTGGGTGGCTTTTGGGGGAGAAAAATGGTTTCTCCTTCCTGCCCCAGCCTGCGGTGCTCAGCTTCCCAGGATGCAGAGCAGGGGGCTCAGTGGAATCGCACCGTGCTGTGGGGAATGGGTCTGCTGCGGGGAACGAGGGAGATTTCACTGCTCCTCCTGCCACCGGCTCGCTCCCAAGACACCGAGCGTGAGGGGAACCAAAGCCTTCCCACACCCGGGGTCGGTGCTCAGGCTCCTGAACAAAACCGCCAGGCCTGGCCCCAAAGCGGAGAGGGAAACGAGCCGCCCTCGATTACGGTCTTGGCCTGGGCTACGCTTGGAGGGCGTCGCTCCTGTTAGCCTCAGAAAAGGGAAATACTGTCTCTTTTGCATAAAATGGAAAGGTTTTTACCAAATAAGGTCACTCTTCCTTCCCTTACACCCAGAAAAGCAACCCCTCGGAGAACCGTGGCAAAGGCTTCTTATCGCTTATTTTATCAAATATTCCTACGTGGTGAAAAGAAAACCCAGGACAGGAGCAGCAGGCGATAGCAGGACCAGGCACAGCGGGGTGTAACCGAGGCGAGAGAACACCTGGAGAACCCCGACGCTGGTCGCATCCATCCTTTCAGATTTTAGGAAAGATCCCCGAAAAACCCCGACTCTGAGAAGGCGAACCCGAAGGCCGGCTTAGGGGGCTGCCGGTTTTGATCCTTCAGCAACAAACGCCAAGGAGCTAAGGAAACACCTTCTGGTGATTTTTATTGATTTCATACGGCGAGGCGTCAGCACCCCCACGGCACTGTAACCCTCCGGAGCGCTGGACACAACCATCCCACGCGTCGCAGGTTTGGTGCGACTGAAAACCACTACCTTTACAAAATGACAGGAAAAGCGTTAAAATTAGCCCGAATCAGGTAAAAAAGCAAAGAACTGATCATATCTCAGCCCAACATCCAGTTTTAAACAGGTCTGCACATAAATAAATGTGGTTGTCTTTAAGTAAACCTGCTCCCCGAAATCTAAAATGGCAGGATTTCGAGGGAATGGGATTTTTTTCCCGAGGCTTACGTGGCTCTTCTAGGGACGGCGTAACTTCCCTCGGCCTGAACACACGGAAACAATGCTGGAGCCAGCAGCTTCCTAGGCCTTAAAACATCAAATAAGGAAAAGAATAATTTCAAATAGACTAAGCTGTTTGATAAGGAGAGCTTAACAGACGTCCCTCACTGGGACCGGGACCGCACACAAACCCTGCTGGAAATAAAGCAACCTCCAAAGGTAGTCAGTAAGAAAGGAGGTTTTTAAGGACTGTCATAAAATCCCTCACAATGTAAATTACGTGGAACGGGTATTTTAGCTGTATTTTATTAACAGAATAAGTAACCGCTCATCAGATAAACATATATATTAACAACTAACGTACTAGCGAACACCTTGGTATCGGACACCGCGGCAGCAGACCTGCACGAGCCAGTTACTTGGCAGTTCTGGGGGGGTGGAAAGGAAAGGCAGCTCTGCTCAGGTACCACGCTTTGAGAAGACTTTCGATTGGTTTTCCAGGAAATACATTTGCTGAAATAACGCAGAATAAGATTTGGGGTTTGTAGCTTGCCCTGATCGCCCGCGGTTTCAGCGAGCGTTGAACATTGGGCCGAGGGTGGCTGTAATGCCAGCGAAGGGCGCGCTCTGACTAAGCTCAAGAACCGACTGCTTCTTTAGAACAAGAAAGATGTAAAACTTGGCCGCGACTTCTTTCCGGTTGTTTTTCCAACAGAGCTCCCGGAAACTGAAAGAACACACGCCTGATCTCTTCAGGTGCTGCATAAGGGAAAGAAGAATATCAGTCAGGGCAGCGTCGCTGCCGGTGCAGCCAGACCCCATGGCGCCCGAAGTGAGGAGTGCTGCTGGGAGTGAGCGTTTTCTGCTTGAACGCCTCGAATGGGCTCTTACTGTGGCATTTGCATTTACATAAGCGGCTCTTAACATTTTATTGCCACGATCTTGCTGGCACCTACGTGTGTTACTAAAATCTAGGGATGCCCGCAGCTCCAGCGACTTCAGTGGGGCTGTACTGAGGCATACGATGAAGCGCATCCGTAAGGGTTGCCATGATTCAAATCAATAAAAATCATTTGCATGATCCAAAACAACAAAACCCAGTGCGTACCCTGTTCTTTGGACACAGGGGGCCAGCTGTGTCCCAGGCAATTCCAGTCGCAGCTAACTGAGAGTCAGTTTTGAGCGGCTACGCTTACGCCTAAGTATTTATTTATGGGCGCTGCACAGAACCTTTGAAATATGTTCACATAAAATAATTAAAAAAAATCCAAAACCCAAACCCAAGAAGTCTGCGAAGTCGAACTCCGGCACTGGGGAAGAGCTAGGCTCGGACCCCAGTTTGGTGTGGTTTTGCAGACAAAACCCACTCCCCACGCCCTCTCGCCCACCCTTGGCTTCCTCCATCGCCTTCCTCCGCTCGCCGCTCAGCCACGTGGCACGCTGCATGAGCAAAGTGCCCTGGAGGAAAAGAACTTTTGCTGCTGTTTTTTCTACCCGCTCCCAGCCAGACCCATGCTGAAGCACCAGAACACTTGTCCAGGCAAAAAGGAAGGAACAGCCGTTAGTCAGGCCCAGAGTCAGGCCCAGAGTCAGGCCCAGAGTCAGGCTGCCTGTGCCGGCTCCGTTACAGCTCCATTGATACGGCATATGACATCATACGCTACAGCTTTACGAGGATTTCTGCGAGAAAAGCAGAATAAGCCCTCCTGATGCAAAGGCTAGGTTCTCTGCTAAATTTCAAGCACCTTGAAAGCACTGGGGCATTAAAACCTCTTCAAGGAAGCGTTCCCAGCTGTCTTTTTAATACAACCTGCACTCATTTCCCTAGCCTTCGTCTCAGAAGCGGCTCGGGCAGATGAGTCGCCAAACGATGGCACGCTGCAGTGCTCAGCTGAGATCTGGCAACCTGTAAGCCACTCGGAGTTGGGGTTTGTAGAGATACCCCAGAGTGTGCTCATAGGAGGAAGAGAGTGAGGGCTTAGCGTGACAGCAAATGCTGCCGCGGAAGCAAACGTTCAGGGAATTCGATCGATTCCAGCGGCGGTGGGAGAGGACACCGCGTCAGGCACTCAGAGTCCTGGTTTCCTGACATAAACACCCAATAAACCGCAGTTACACGCTGGCTATGAGGCAGCAATATGACCAACAGTCCAAGGAGGAGATTTTCTGACAGTTACACGCTGGCTATGAGGCAGCAATATGACTAACAGTGCAAGGAGATTTTCTGTCATGGTCCAGCTGAAATCAACACCTGGTTTTGGCAGATATTTACAAAATCCAGCACTGGTACCTGTAAAGTTTTTAATAACTGAAGAGTTCTTTTGCTCCACCTTCTTTCTTCACTGTCTGTCCTGTTCCTCGTTAGCTCCTTGAGAGGAAACAGAACAGAGGGTTAGACAGCATGTGTAAAAAGTCGTGCACCATGAGGATAAAAAGGACATGAATTCTAGCTTAATCAAAAATCCCCCGGGAGCTGGGCATTTTGCTGGCCATACCCGCGAGACCTGGGGCCTCTGACACCTCTGTGGTCAGACTCGTCTTTGTGAAACAGAGAAAAGAACGCTAACCGCATTCTTTCTGCACAAAGAGTCAAATCGAGTGCAACGACACGTTAGGGACCATGGAAGTGGTCCCAGAGGGCCTTGGGGAGGCAGCTTCACACCAAGATCCTGTTCTGCGTGACTGGGACTCTGACAGTATTTGTACCGGTCAGGGGCCAAAAAGGATGTTCAAAAATTTGGCTTTAGATTTTGGGCTTAACCCCTGACGTCGACAGGAGACTGCCCTTGTTTCAGAGAGTCTGAGCACCCTCAGGGCCAGCAGCTGAGGAACCGTTTCCTTCTTACAGGAAGCATGGTCTCTAAATAAGGAGCTGTCTCCCTGACCATCAAGCTAGTAAAGTTTTTGCCTGACAAAATATGTACTAAAGATGGTGTTAGTACAGCAAAAGTCACTGTGAGTTCACAACGCCACCATTTTTTGTTTTGGTTTGGTTTTTTTTTTTTTTTTTATATCTCTGAGAAAGAGCATAGTTCTGTTCTGACAGAAGCCAGAGTTGCCAGCTTCGGGTACACGTACAGTTGTTAACTTGGCTTGCTGTATTTCAGCTTCTTGGCCCAGTGAATTGTTCACCAGTGAGGAGCTCTCAGAGAAAGCCGTTCCGTCCTGCTATTAGGACAGAAAGGACAGTCAGTAGGCATTACAATTTGTGCATACAGTGTAATTCCCAGTCACATAATTCTGCTCAAAGAATGTATTACAATAAAACGTTTTCCAAAAATTATTTCGTAGTTGCTGTTTCTCACGTAGGAAAGGACCTTGCTGTAGCATTTATCCTACAGCTGGATCCACACCCATGGGCTCAGTTCAGGCACAGACCCTACATTTTCTGCTACCGTTAGGTCCAATTTTGTCAGTCTTTTTTGACTTTTAATGAACCCCATGTTCTCTAAAGAACCCCCTTGCAGGGTAGCCTAAATAAAGAGAGCAGAAATAGATCCTTTGTTATTGCCCGAGTATTTCCTCGGTTTGAGACACAAAAGATTTCTATCCTTTATGAAGATGAACACCTCTCCAGTTCAAAGAGGCTGTATTTCATGTTAAAGTTCCGCTTCTACTTAGTGATTAGACTGTAATCTACACTGATTAATAGACATTTTAATTAATAGTTCAATTTATGGTAAGAATCTTCCAAAGTGCCTATAAATAAACTTCCATGACATAAGCTACTTAACGCTGTATCGGCTCTCTCCAGCACCCTTCTCAAACACAAATTAGTAATTTCTGGATGTGCTTTAAATGGAGCCCTAGCACAGACACCAATAAATACATTTAGGTCTCTACAATTCATGGAAGCTGCTCACTATAGTTTCACCACAGTTATCATCAGTTTCATTTCTGTTATTCTGTGATGTCAACATAAAGGAATCATTTCTAATTTTTCTCTCAGTCTCTGAATGAGCTGACTCCTGCAGGTCTCTTGGCTCTTCTACTATCAGCATCTCTGTATTAATAAAAAAACAAGGTTTAAGAGGAAATTGCTGTGAATCGCTGTCCCTAAAAAAGTCCACTGAAACCCCCAAGTCACCCCCTAGTTAGCTGTCTTTGCGAGTAAGAGCCAGACCGAGTAAATACAGAATAAATCTCATTCCCAACAGGACCACGGAAGAAGAAGAACCTTCCAAGAGTTTTTCTTTTTCTAAAAGTTGACCTTTATGGACTTGCAGGAGGTGGTTTTGTTGATTCACTGCCGAGGCAGCCCTGCAGATTGTATTTCTAGCAGAGCAAAGGAGGGAAAGCAGACACATCACCTTCTCAGGAGGTCTAACATGGAACATTTCTTCTTGCTTGGTATTAACCAAAGCACAATCTTCAAGATACAAATAGAAGTTATTTATATGAACTTGGAAATTTGGAGAGCGGCTTGATTAAACTCAGAATAAGTGGAAAGCTGCTTTTTTTAATTTTTAAAAAGCCAAACAACAAAAAACCACCCCCACAACCAAATCTGCAGTTCAGTAGACAATTAGAGAATCCAAAGGTGAAACCAGAAATACCTCCTTATGCCACAAGGAAGGAAAAGACTTGCATTTCATTTCTGTTCTAAGGGACAAAAGAACAGCAAAATACTCATAAAAACAAAACACCTTTTTTTTTTTTAACTAATTAACAGCCAATTGCCTTAACCTTTAACTTTTTTGGCCTTTGATTTGTGGAATACTACACACAAACACCGTGCATGTGTCTCTCAAATATTATGTAAAACAGAAAATATTTCCTGACAGCTAATTCCGCCACAACAGAATTCAAATATTACCTGTGGGATCTTGCTCTTTTCGTGTTTCTTCCTTTTCAGACTCCTTCTGTATTCCGGTTTTTCTCATCTGAAATCCATGATTCTTGAAGTAGTTTGCAAACAACTGAAACCAATTATTTTTGTTTGCTTTCAGAATATAACGTCAGATTATTGCAAAGATCAACACAAAGGTATGAATATGAGCTGTGTATTAATTACTGCAACCTAGAATTCTGAGATTTGAATTAGGTCATGATGAAAACCTGCCATTTTTTGAAAAAGTCATTTCATTCTGCAGCTTCAACTTTGGCATTGAACTCCGTGAAGAAATGTCTTAGGAACAGCTTGGATCATTTTTCCTTGAAGCCAGCCAGTAAGGAGGGATGAAAGAAAAAGGAAAAACCATCTGCAGTTATCTGTGCGCGAATTTCTCTCCCTGTGTACTGGTGCGCGAGGATTTTTCAGCCTCAGAAAGAACAAGCTGTAATTCTGCACCTCGACTCTAAGCGGTGAAGCTGTGCTGCTGTGCAGCCTGGCAGAGCTGTTTGCCTGCAGACCCTGCCTCCCGGATCGCTCCAAGCTCCACGAAACCGCACCATGAACGTAGGGCTGCTGCACCCAGTTTACGCCCTATCTTTCCAGATCACCTTGTGTATGGGTTTATCCCTTCGTTATCTTATCACCAGCTCTAACCTTACAGCTTCTTCGAATGATCTGTCAGATACTGCGTGGGAGGCTTTGACAGGCCCTATTTCCATGAAACAAGTATGACTTTTCTTGTGTGAGGAGAGCAGTAAGGTGCCTTGCCACAGGAAAGGGTGGTCTGGCCCAGCCTTCTAGCCAAAGCAACAGAGGGATCAGGAGCCTCTTGGTGCTCTGAAAGGCAAGTCCCTGACTGCTCTCCAGCTGGAAGCTTAACCTCCAGTTGGGAAAGTACGAAAGAAATTGGCATACCATCTTCCCAAAGCCATTAACAATACAGTAATACAATAACGTTTAAGCCTGATGTACCGATAAACGTAGCAGGGAGATGTGGTCTCGTATTGATTACGGAGCAGAAACAAACCAGAAAAGAATAAAACAAAGTAGAAAAGACATTGACAGAAATGGAAAAAGTTGTGTGGTAGCGTACAATCAGTCAGGTGCCAGGATGTGAAGTGAAACATCAGCTCTCAAGTGGCTTTGTCATTTTTAACGTGTTGGAGTGCTGGAGATTAAAGCCGTGAGCTTTAATCCAGTCTTCCTGATGAAGCAATTAGTGGTGAGTATGCAAATAATCATCAGGTATCCAACCAAACTGCACTGGAAACAATGACAGTTTTTTGGAGTTTGCTGGGAGTTCACATAAAACCAAGTCTGCAAAACCTCTCACAGTTAGAGCCTAGATCTGCAGCAGTCCCGTAATCTATACGGTGGCATAAAACCCCACAAGGAATCAATCTTTACCATTTGCAGCTCAGCATGCACCACAGGCTGTGTAGTGTGGGACAGGAGCTTATCCACCCCTCCTGATTTCTTCCACATCATTGTTTTTTTGGTTGGGGGTGCAAGGTCTAAGGTAGCAAGGGTGTCCATGCAGTTGTTAAGTTGGTTGTATATAGCGTTGCAGCTGAGCTCCTTGTCTACATCCACAAGCAGCTTCCTCTTTCTTTTACTTTTTTTCCTCTGGGTGACAGCTAAATAGAGCAAGGAATAATAATAAAAAAAAAAAAGTCTAATAAATTATACTCACAGAACACTTAAGCACCCAAAAAAGCACTGTGAATCAAAGGGACAGGCTGCTGACCTCCTGGAACACCGCGCAGACTTGAAAAATTAAAGTACAAGTGCACGGGCCATTTCTCCAATGGTTTTCATAAAGTATACTCTTTGTGTTCCTGTACAGGAAACGCATGTATGTATCGTTCTGGAAGACATATGACTATTGCACTAAAGAATGGGGAACATGGGGACTTCATGAGGACACATGATCTAGCAACAGGACTGACTAAGCTATCTTTAATCTGTCCGGAAGTTAATTGTTCCAAGAACTGCTGATGGACTCAACAGGTTTCGTTACCTCGTAATTAGTATCTGTATTTGTCCATTTAATCCGTTAGCAATTTCATTAAGATGTACGTAGCAAACACAAAAGAAAGACACAGATGGGTTATATAGCCATAACTTCCTGAATATTATTTTGGCAGGCTGGAAAATTCCAGTGTTCTAAATATCAGTGTCAACATGAACTTATTTATTTGCTAATAGCCACCAGTGCGATAGGTGACATTTAGATCTACTCACCGAAGAAATGAAACATTTCTCTTTTTGGACCTTATTAAGGTTAAAAGGCTCACAAAAAAAAATTTTACAAAGGCCTGAAAGTTTTAAGATTGTCATTTTACACATAAAAATCACTGGTGTGTCACTAGCAATAAAAGTTCTTCAGTAACACTCGTGAACAGGCCGGGTTTGCGCTGCCAGCAGAACTGCAGAGCTTGATTTGGTACGCAAAAGAAACTGCAAGCAGAGATTCGGGCAGATCAGGTGAAGACCCCGATACCATTTCTGTGTAACAGTTACCATAAAATAGAACTCTGACAACAGGAGCAGATGACATCTGAAGTGGGAGTAATCTGGTTTGCAAGTATTTTCAGGAACAAGAAGAAAAACGAACGTAGTAACGCAAACATTCAGGAAGAAACTGGTCGAGTTCTGACCTGTATCATCAACTGGCTCCAGCACAAATCCTTCTTCTTCTTTCAGCAGAAGTATTGCTTCAGTCGTTAGATGCCCGACTTCCTTAATAGGGGTGTCTGCGCAGTTGGCCTCAACTATAAGAAAACCCAGCAAATAACTCAAATTTGAAAAAAAAGTTTACAAGATGGAACAATGGCTTTATCTCACGGCATAGAATGATATCAGACAAAAAAAAAAAGAATTAGAAGACTTGTGATTTTGTCTATAATCTCACAATCACTTTAACCAGTAATAACTGGTTCTGCTGCTGCTGCTCATATTCTGCACTGCACGCTTTCCTTTGCTGACACCAGAGCCTGCGTGACCGGGTGGCAGAACAGGCTGAAGAACCCATCTGGAGGAAAACCCACCTGACAAAAAGTGTTTGGGGGAAAAAGCGGTTAGTTGCAATACGTACCTGCTTCCAGTTCCAGGCATCTGCACGGCAGCGTGGACATTTCAGTCAACATAAAAAGAACAGGTAGCACCAGGACGAGCGCAAGGAGGGGCAAGTGCCACCATTTCCCTTTCAAGCTGTTCCAGAATTCTCAGTTTTAAAGTAACAGCATGATGGGGGTATAAGGGTTTAAGATATAAAAAGAATTCCAGAAACACTTTTCAAAAATTAATTTCATCGGTATCAAACCCAAAGACGACTAATGCCACTTTATGAGCTACCAAAGTGTCATTTGTCGCTGAAATATGAAGCCAGAAATATTCACAGGTGAAATTCAAAGTTGCAGCGTAACCATTCCGCTTCTTTTCCTCTACAAAAGTGGTATCGGAATGTCTAAGCCGCAGGGTGGATCAAGAGCGTATCCAACAGGAGATCGCATATAAATATATATGATACAGGCTATATAAGAGGGCTTCCGAGCAATGTCAAGTTACAAATCTAGAATTCCTGGGTCAATTTAAATTATACCTAAAATGGTGGATGAAGCGAATTAGGAAAAAAAGCAAAATAAAGGAACAAAGGAAAAAAACCCGGGATATTGTACAAAGCGGAGTGTGAGTAACTTTGGGCATTAACACAGGAAGAGAGGGTTGGTGTGGGTGAGCCAGAGCGGACACGGCACACTCACTTGCTGCGCTGTTCTCTGGCAGGTCGTGTGACAAAGGATGTTCTTCCTCCATATCAAGAATGTCTTTATCCAGGCCGTTTTGCTCATCCCTCAACAGGATTTCTTAAATACAAAATGCATAGTTTTAATCATTCTAAGCCTTAGTAGGCATGAGCTAGCCCGATACAGCCTAATGTTACTTATTTAAGGTTTATTTTGTGCAAACAAAAAAAACTCAGCTTCCACCGGTGGCGGTCAGCGATACGTCTGCCTTCAACAGAACAGAACAAGAGAACATTAGTCTTCATTTTGAGATTTCCAACTTTCCTTTGAAAAGTAAGATATTGATACTTTTTAAAAGGTATAAATCTATAAACATTTACAGAAATACTCTAAACATAAAGATGTTGAAGCTCCTTTGCCGCCTTTGGCATTACAACAAGAAGGATAAAAAGGCTGCAGTATTTCACCTTTGAAAATATAAATTAAATTGTTCAACATTAAGGATGAACTGAAGGCCCTCAATTCTAAAAACCTGAAATACCTCCTCTAGTACAATTTCACTTGGCAATGCCTAAGTGATCGTAGATTTCGTGACAAGTAGAAAAGGAATGAAGCATGAAATCAACGAAAAATACAAAATTTATGTTTGAAAACGGTCACTTTCATGCTGTCTTGTTTGTTTTCCTGTAAGAATAAAAATATTTGGAAAGTAACTAACTCTGTTTATCTGTGGCAAAAGCCTACCAATCATATCCACAGCATCCTCCTCATCTCCAAAGCAGTCCTGCTCGAAACAGTAAGTGTCTTCATGCAGGGCAGGCTGCTCTCCGTTCACGCTCACAGAGTTGTGATCAGCCACGAGGCTGTGGCTGCTCGTTAAGATGCTGCCGTCACAGAGGCTCTGTTTTCTTAGTGCATTTGGTTCTTCATCTGAATAAACACAGAATTTCTCATGCTTTGTCTGCACGGATTTTTTTTTGAAACACCTATTTATCCATTTCCTAATTTTTTCAAATAATTTTTAAAAGATTGTAAGATATCCCATACCTCAGACAGAATAAACAATAAATGATTTTAGCTAATTCAGTAAAAAGCAGAAAATGTTGGGGTTTACTCTCAGTCTCCAATATCGTATTAGATTACTTGGGCAGAGTACTTTTACACAAAAAATTAAGCATAAGGTGGTACGACAGGCCAATCAGCACAAGCGTGAAACAAAGGCACTTTTAACAATACCTTTTCCACATGGGGAAAGGACTCAGACTGTACATAATTTTGCATAAAACACACTTTTCCTTATGGAACATTTCTAATTTCTCAACTTCTCTCACCAAAGTTTCTATCACAGAGAAGTATATTGCTTTCGTAATCCTCTGTAAGTGTGATGTCTTCAGCTCTGCTCTGATTCAAGGTAAAATGTTCAGCAACATCAATGGCACTGATGAAAAAAACATTATACAAAATATAGGGTGAACTGAAACCCATTGACCATTTAGCTGGAACGTGAAAACTTGTTTCTAAAGACCCTTCAATCCTGACGTTTTATCATGCAACCCCCAAAGGCAGCTTCTGTTTTCTACAGCATTGACAGTACCCCAGCTGATCCTCACTTCTGTGGAGAGAACAACTGTTTCCCAAAGCTATTTGCATCCAAGCCATTCAAAGTTTTGTTGATAAAAATGCGCTGCTTTGAATTTCCTCTAAAAGCTAAAAATAAGCATATGGAAAACAGGTGCTATATGTTTATTAAAAATGATACCTCTAAGCAAGTAGGCAGCTGCCACCTTTGCTCGCCAAAGTTTTGATGCAATCTCCAACGTACATTGCACAGAGAAGGCTGAATCTGTAAGACCCAGCCCAAGGGCTGGGGAGAGGTCCATGAGGAGGGGAAAGCATTTACCCAACCGGACTTTGAAATACTCCCCGCACCCGGAACTCCGTAAGCAAATGATCTGGATGGATACGCAGCAAGCAACCCCCTCAGGGAACAGCAGACATATTTATAACGATGAGGGAAGCGCCCATCCTCCTCTCCGTGTTTTGTATTTCTCCACTCTCTTTTGCCAGTAAGCTCGGGCTTGTGCGAGTTTGTTTGCATACCAGCTCCCTGCCCTGCTCTCTGCCAGACGCTCGTCACGCAGAAAGCCTCTCATTAGTGCAACACCATCATCCGTAAATCAAACCTCACAGGCTCTTTGGGCAGGTGGAACAGCCACACTGTGCAGAGCCAGCACACAGAGGTACCTGAATAAATAGTATTGCGTCACAGCTGCGCTTACAAAATACGACACGCTTACAGATCCCATCCAACTGTATTGAAGCCTCAGTGGAAATCCATTATCCTGGTTCTCTGGAGGCATCAGAGCCGTCAGAAACATGCCTTGGCCTCCTGCCTTTTGTCACTTTTTCTACATTAATGCTGACTCGTGTCAGAAAAGCCAAAGAAATAGGCTGGCTTTTCATTGGGAGCCAAGCTGACTGCTGCTGATAAAATACCCCAGCCCCCAGGAGCAATGCAGCAGAAATTAAACGCACGACACTGCGAGGTTACTAGCCAGAGCCTCCTTGGTCTTACAACAGGATTTACGCTAACTTTTGCATCTTCACTTGCAGTCAGTGAGTTGTTTGCAGGCTTCGCTCAGACCATTTTAAATCAGAATATCCTGAAGCCTAAGGTCAATACGTTATTTCATTGTAAAGGTCTGTTGATTAAATGGACTTTGAGGAAGTCTACAAAAGCACAATTCCTGTGACCATAGCCTTGTAAAGCTCACTTGGAATTTTTGAGAATTCTGTTATCAAATCAAAACAATTCCATCTGAGTCTTGATCAGATAACAGCAAGGGCATCTTTTACTTCTGAAAATAATAAAATAATGAATAAAAATTGGGGAAGCATTTACTTTAAATCAGGTAGTGGTGTTTCAAAATCGTGAAATTCTTCAGGTAATGTAATGGACTGATAAGCAGCCTCAAAGTTCTCTTCTGGAAGGTCAACGAGTCCTAAAAGAAACAGACAACATAACAAAATAAGTAGCCATAAAATAAAAATAACTTTCTCCCAAGTACGTATAAACAGACTATAAACCTGTCAGGAAGGTCTGCCGCCATCCTAAACAACAGAAAGGTGAGGCTTAGGTGCTTTGTCAACAGGACTCCAAAGCAGAATTAAAATCCTTAGTTTACCTATACTTCAGAAGCCATTTTTTTTACAAATACGGGAGAGTCTGCTGCTACAGGACCTGAAATACCATGAATACATCGGGTTTACGAACAGCTGCTTTAAGGCCCTGGGTATCGTCACGGCTGACATTTAGCCTAGAGTCTCTCACACCACTTCAAATGAATGACTGCGTTTCCTTTTGCTCTCCAATGCCTGCATAGCGCTATTCTCCAGCATCAAATTATGACAAAGTGAGACTGCAAATACTTGGTAATCAGAGAATCCTGGAACAATTTGGGCGAGAAGGGATTTCTGAAGGTCATCCAACCCAAGGTTTGCTCAGAACAGGGTTAATATTCTAAGTCAAATCACTTTTGACTGTTCCTGCTGGTGGAGATTCCACAGCATCCCTGGACAGCCTGTTTCAGCATTTTACCACTTCCAGTGGGATGTTTTTTCCCCCTTGTATCTAATTGGAGTCTCCCTTGTTGCAACTGTGACTGTTGTGCCTTGGTTTCGTGCTGTGCAGTCCTCTGTAAGCTACTACAGTATCTATTCAAAATAGATAGTACTGTGTACTTATCTTAAGTGTTTCTTCTAGAGATTTCCAAATGTTTACAAATATGAACAAACTAGTCATGATCGCATCCTTGAGAATAGCGTAGAGTGATATTCACTATTCGGCAAACAGGCCAGGTCACAAAGCACATTAAGGGCCGGCAATAGATGCTGGTGTCCTGTTCTCAGCCTTTTTTCAGACAACAGTGCCTCCCTGTTCGGTGCCTAAGTGCGACAGACGCACAGCCCGTAGGCAAAGGAGCCAGTTCATCCCTGCTCCCCTCCGGCTGGCTACGTGGCTAGAGCTCAAAACACTGTCAGGTCTGGCGCTGACACACTGTTAGACATGCTGTTGGTGTCATCAGAAATTAAAATTCATTATCTAGCAACGGAGGCTGAATTCAAGCTTCTTCTCATAAGACCACTTAAGATACTACTTCTTTTAAAGGCGTCAAAGACCTGAAAAGGCATTAAATTAAGCCAGACTACACATCAGCAGTAGGCACCCATAAATTCAATTTCCTTTGGGACCAATAATGTTTAGCAGAAGTAGCCAAAATTAACAAATTTAACTTTTAAAATGGGAGCTGTAAAGGACACAGGTGGGAAAATGCAGAATTCCGTACAAACCTGGGCGAAAGGCTGTCTTCATTTTTGTCAACGCATCGCTACAGTCTGCCAAGAGGTACTTTGCTTTCCTGTGGTAAATCCGCACCACTCCCAGGAGTAAGTGTCCAGAGGTTCGCAGAGCTATGGTAAACTTTGGTGATTTAAAAAAAGTTGTTCAGGAGTCAGTATTTTTGGCAGAAACATTAAAATGAAAATACTACACAGCAGTAACAAAAGTTCTCCTAAAATACACCAGTACAGAGCTCTACGAAATTCAACGGGGCTTTGTACTGATACAGGGCGTTGTAAACAGAAATGAATTTTCAGAGCCATGAACTTCTAGTTGCTTCTGTTCCTAAACATTGCCATGCCGAAGCGTGAGTCCTGAATCGATGCTCTTACTTTACCTAAAACATCTCAGCTGACTGCCAACAAACAGTGTAACGCATCCTGAAACCGCAAGTAGCTGCACATATTCTAGTATTTGACACTTTGGTTATTTAAGTGAGCAGACACCATACCTGTGCCCTTATTTATGCAAATAAAGGCCATAACTATGCCCTTATTTACACAAAGTCTTCCTGCACCAAGCACATGTGGTCATGCTAATGCTAGACAGGACAGCATGCAAGGGAAAGCAGAGGGCACTCAACTAGTACCTCTTGGAAAACACTTCCAAATAACAGAAGCACAGAATCGTTGAGGTTTGAAAAGCTCGCCATGCCCAACCGTTCCCCTACCCCTGCCATCCCACCACTAAACCCTGGCCCTAAGCACCGCGTCTGCCTGGTTTTTAAATCCCCCCAGGGATGGGGACTCGACCCCTTCCCTGGGAGCCCATTCCAGTGCTTGACAACCCTTTCGGTGGAGAAATTTTTCTTCATATCCAAACTAAACCCCCCCTGATGTAATGTGAGGCCATTTCCTCTTGTCCTATCACCCGTTACCTGGGAGAAGACACCGACACCAAGATCATTTTAACAACCTTCTGTTAATCACAACCCATGCGAGACAGACAATGAAATGCAGACTATCAAATATCAAGAAGGTATTTTCATGGAGAAAATAAAAAAATCTGCTTGCACCAGCTGAAAGCCTTGGATCTCCTGAGCCATCGATTAGTGACAGCGCAAAGTGTTCCTCGCTGTTCCCTTGGAAGCACTTGCAACGGCGAGGCCAAGGACTGAGTCATGGGTACTTGACTGCCCGCATCTGCGCTTGCTTGAGTCACACCTTATTTGTGATACACAGAGGACAGAGCCTCTTATAAGTGCTACGTATGCTTAATTATATATTTAACGGCTTATAATGGGGGACCTGGAAGAAGTCCACTGAAAGGGGAAGGATGGTTGCAATATGTCAGAAGTTATCTATTGTAAGATCAGCGAAAGCAGTCTCCTGAAATGGTCTGTGTACAATTTCACGGCAGTTTCCTTAGTCCCTTGACGTTGGTTAAGCAGCTGACTCTTCAATCTTTTGGAGACAATTTCCTGAAATACCAGCATTGCCCAAATTATGTTGAACAATACCCACAGCTGGTACTCAAAGTCTCCAAAGAAAGACCAGTGCTACCACACCGATGGGCTGGTGTTGCCTCATGAGGAGCTCAAACCCACGTCCCATGATCCTTTGGCCAGCGGTGCCCGCAGAGCGCTCCCTGGAGCTCTGTCAGGGTGCGGAAAAATACATCTGAATACTCTGCAGTAACGTTTTCTTACACTGTACGTGAATGTAGGCCACTGGTATCCAGGAGTAAAATAGCAAGTAAAATATTTATATAACTGTCATTTAACGGGATGGATATTTTGTCTGAGTGAGAACTGAATAAAATCAGATTAGGAGTTTACCTCACACTGGTTTTGAAATAGCCACAAATTTGTCCTAAACTCAGTCTCCATGACAGCAACAGTCCTGTCCCCTAGGAAAGATGGACACCTCTACCCCAGAACTTACCAGAAGACACCGCATTTAATAGCGTACCTTTGGCGAGATGATCTTTTCAATGGTAGTCTCTAAATTGCACTCAAATATATGAGCTTTGGTGAGCTTCTTCTCCCAGTGGGCAGCAAGCCATATTTTGGCCAACGGCCCGCGCTTGTTGACGAGCAAATGCATGTAGAACATGGCGCCTGGGCGAAGGCTCACAGGCCAGCCCTGCCACCGCCGCCCTGCGCTCTTCCCCTTCCAACAGGAGAAGGGTCCCGGGCACGATGCGGGAAGAGGGATTTAGTGGGATCCTGAGGGGCTAGGGGCACCCGGATGGGAGTGGAGGGGATGAGGGGCAGGATTTAGGGGGATCTGAGGGGACCCAGCCCAGCACTGAGGGGATGGGGGGGGATTTAGTGGGATCTGA